GGGGGGGGGTCTAATATAACCGCATAAGGTTACCGATTATGACAGAAACCTTACACTTAGCATAAGAAACACTGTCAGCACTCAGTAACTTGCAATGCAAATGGCTGCTCCATATTCAATACAGTCATGTTCCAACTACGGTATTTCCTACATAGATCGAATATTTGATTGCGCCTCAGCGCCTCTGAGTGTTTCCTGGCCTAATTGTTCAGAATAAAAACACAATTACTATTATTTTGATTAGAATCATCATCATAAGGATAAGTAATCAATTTAATATGCTAAAAGTAGCGAAAAACGAAACCAAATCAATAGGAAATATACACTACACCCGACACCTTAACAATTACGAACCAAAGCGCTCACCTTCCTGGTGGATCCCCATTCTGGTCAAAGTAAAGAGATTCATTGGCGTAGTTTGTGAAAGACACATTAATAAGATGGCTGAGGAAAATGGATCCGTTAACAGGGAGGAATCCGGGACAGACCCCAGGGCGGCCATTACAGACGAGCTGGTGAATGTTGTGGAGTGCATGGGCCATGGTGTAGATAGCGTTTACAACAAACCCTAACTTAGCATCTTGGACGTAGTTAATACTAAGATCTTCTTCGCCAGAACCTGGAAATATAACAATTTTCAAAAAAAATGAAAAATAAAATAACCGAAAGATAATGAAACTAACTTAACGTATTTTGAAATACGAAACTGCTTTCCTCACAATTTTAGAGTATCATCGAATGATGCATGGATTTTTTGTCCTCCACTATTTACGTACATTAATACATACAATGTCTACAGTGTACCCTTGGAAGTAAAGCTGGAAATGAACAGGAATGGATGCTAATGCCGGGTAGTGCGCCTTTATCAAATCTTTCTAATATATTTTAGAGTATCATCGGTTGATGCATGGACGTTTTGTCCTCTGCTATTTATATACATTAATTCATACAATGTCTACAGTGTACCCTTGGAAGTAAAGCTGGCAAAGCCCAGAAATTGATGTTAATGCTGGGTAGTGCACCTTTATCAAATCTTTCTAATAAAATTGCGAGCGAAATCTGGTAACGTGAATTCGTCCAAACTTAATTAGTCTTCCGCTGATAACGGCAATTTTGCATCGAACCACAGTTAATTATCATTATCAGTTTTCTCAATAATTTGCCCCGGATTTGGAGATAATAAGAATTTGAAGATAATGAAAATTACCCACTGGGCATTTTGAAAAGACAGGACAATCAACAATTTTACCGGAAGAAACCAAAACGTCGCTATAGAAGTTCGCAGAGTGTGATACTTAGTCGGAATGTTGATGAAATTAATGATTAATTTGCATCCTCCCGCCAGACGGTGAATATTTGAGAATAAATATGAAGTATTCCCGACGGAGGAATCAAATATATATGTTACAGGTATAATGATGCAGACCAGACTGATATTGATATATAATCGATATCAATCTGATAGAGTCGCTAATCATAATATTTCAGTTTTTTTTTTTTTTTTTGACGATCTGTGCGCGTGTACGTGTGCGTGTGTGTGTCCGGTTGTTTGCGGCGGATACCTGTGCAAGGAGCAGAGAATCTTTTGTCTCTGTTCTCCCCATTTATATAGCACTGGAACTTCTCTTGCCAGAAATCTTGGAACCAGGGATTTCTGCTTGGCTCAAATGGGCTGAGGTTGAAGTAATGCTGATCGAAGGCTCTTAACGGCGGGGAATGGAGCCGTATTGACATGCCGCCTGCAGCGGCCTCCTCCAGGTCCTTCACGACATCGGGCCTGACCGCCCACCCATCGCTGAAACCGCAAAATAATGAAGATTTACGACTATTGACTATTCAAAGATCATTAACAGAGATAAGGGACTATTTTTAAACACATCCCACTATCCAGTATTTCCTAAAATTGGACATTTAAAGACATTTCCTTCTGGCTACCGGTCATTTCAAAGACTAATCTCTTTCTCTAGCACAAGAGAGAATCCAACCATTATCTTCGAGAAAATTGAAAGAGATAACATATTTATTTTTTATTTTTATTTGACGATGACAAACCGAAAACAATCACCTTCCAATAAACAGAAATTCCCCAACGGCGTTTAACCTCGTCGTGGCATTCAAGAGACCCTTTACTGTCATGCCCTCACAGAAGCAGACGACGACGCGAGCGTTTGGTGTTTCCTTTAAGTTCCTGATGACGGTGTTGTAAGACTCATAATCTGCGTTATTCTTTACTTTCTCGGCTGTAGCAATACACAGTCCTGCTTTTTTGGCAATTGCCGTGAAAGCTTCCATTCCACTAGCACCATAGTTCCCTATAAAAAGACAAACAACTAAAGAATATAATATGTCCATCAGACACGTAATCTTTATAGATCATAAATGAAAATGTTCGCTATTCTTTCCACAAACTGCTCTAAATATAATAGGTTATATCATTGCAGGCAAGTGTCCTCTTTGTCTTTGTCATGAAATTCTAGTTTTGTCTCCATCCATTAAATTAGGTCGGTAATTTCAACAATGAACCATGCCATATCATCGCTATACATAAGTAAAATCTGAGACTTTAAAACAGTCTCATTTATTCCAAATGTCTAGAGGTATGGCAATTTGATGCCGACTGATTCTCCCGTATTGGTTTCAGAAATGCATTTGCCAAGTGTGTGTTCACGGTTACCTATTAATGCCCTGCCTCTACGAGAGATCATAAGATTAGGTCGGCATCAAAAAGAAACGAAAGTAAACCGCATTTAACTCGGGGTGTATATTACGAGCAGTCTCTTAACGGGATTGCCGATTGCCAAATGCCTCCATCAATCAGAAAAAAAGTCATTTTGAACAATTTGAGCTGAATGGCAGTTTCAGATGGAATGTATCAAGCTGACAAGCCAGAAAGAATAAAGCATCATTTTCTTATACCAGATTTCATTTGGCGCCATTTTGAGGTTAATCAAACCGGACATTTTATTAGGCCGTTCAACGAAGTCACAGCATATCTTCATTGGTCAATCTGAACAATTGTCCTATGTATTTCAGGAATATAAGCGAGCTGCACATTTTGCCTACTAAATTTATTAACGCTTTTTTTGGGACATTTTGAACATCACAACTATCTTTTCAATTCACAAATAAAACCATAATAACAAAAGATGCAAAGATATAAAATTAAAGGAAATATTTTGAAATATCTTCCACCGATATACAGTTTTTAGTTGACGTTCATCAATATGGCTTCAGCTGTCATCATAGGTATGATGGTGACGTTGAAAAAACAAATATAAACATTTACTGCTATATCCATTTTGTTCGCACTAAAAGCTTATAAGCATGTATACGATTTTAATGCATGATCTACAGAAGAATCATCTGCAATAAAATGAAATATTTGTTATAGAATAAATCTAACACACAAACTCCACCTGAGATGGATTTCAGTTTCTCTTTCTGGTTTGAAAAGCATCAGTAAGAACACTGTTACACCAGGATTCCTTCCATATGTCATATTCAATATGATCTTATCTTATTTGAGTATTTTGCAAATTCCAAAATTAACTTTTATTTAATTGTGAAGATATTTATACAAAACTCTAGAGAGTGTTGAATCAATATAAATTTGATCACAATACATTTATCTGCTCTAAAATTTGATGTTCATTGAGTTGAATACTCTTAATAATCGTGACATATGTCGTTTTATTATTTGCAAGGCCTAAAGAAAAAGTCCCTTATATTAAATTGTATTCACAGACGTCTTCCCAAAGTCTTACTCGCGTACTTGTATCACAAGTGGGACTACTTGAACTCTTCTCAACCCCACAATCAGCATGTCTGTATTATAGGCAGCTTTAAGTGAAATTAAAACTACACAACAGGTATTCATATCATAATATCTCTTATGTGTAAAAGGCCAATTCTTCTTTTCAAATAATCTCAGAAATTGAGCTATGTACCTCATTGTTTATAGAATGCATTTCAGGTTATCCAATTAAGCTGAGATTGCATTTATCGTCCTCAAAACATAGAGAGGGGAAGATGGTAACATTGAAGACTTTAAAAATAGTGAGATAATTAAATGTGTGCACTGAACTTTCTTTCAGTTCTTAACGTATTAAAAGTTTCCAGGACAAATATGTTCTTATGGAAGCCTTAAGCAATGTATTGCTGCTTACTTATTTAAGGTCTAGCGTTCAATAACCCATTCCCTACATTAGTTAAGAAGGCGATAACAGTAATTACCTAAAACTAATGGATGTCCAAACGTTGGGCATAGTTTCCTTCATAACTTCATTTTGAATAATCATAATGCTATTACCATGTTCCCAGAATAAGAAATCCATCGAGACTTCAGTTATATGTTTTTGGATTACTGTAATCTTTTGGATACCGTCTTTCGAAAACATGCTTCAGGACAATTAGACAGATGATTAGATTGAACCTAAGTACAATATTTCATATCACTGTAAGAAAAAAGCCTTTCCGACGAATGCAAGAAACTTTATAACTGTGTGTTCTACAACTTACTCTTATACAAACTTATTCAAAGAGGAGGAAGCATGGGCTGCAAAGTACGAATTAGATGGTGATTAAGTTTGTGTACTTTGAATAACCTCTTCTGATTAATTCGTAATTTATTATACAGAAAGTAGTGCACATTTCATATGTTTATCAGACGTGTACGGATATAGCAGTGAAGAAGACCGTGCCGCTCCTCTGTCCTTTCTGACATGGTAGCACCTTCAATACGAGTGACGTCTGTTAAAGACCAATGTGGCCTCAATCAATTTCTTTGATTCTTAACGTAATTCAATCATACTGATTCATGTGTTCCAGTGCATCCTTTCTCCTGTAATCATCATTCTAGTTTTGCCGTGTAAACCGCCTTCCGTGAAACGCCATTTCATGGACCACCTATGCCATATATAGAACTTTGATGACTCGTATGACAAATCAAGGAAAATCAGTTCAATAGAGATCGTAATGCATATATAAAAGGGCGAAAATTACATTTGTTTCTTCGATAAGATCGATAGAGTTGCGGAAACTGTGTGTTCCAGATATTAAGTCTTCGGCAGACCACAGTTGCGAGGATAGTTATATCCGTTTCAAGGTCTTGTGCTTTTCACGGCTTTTTATTTCACAGAGAAATTGTAAGGAGACATGCTTTATCAATTGATAGATATTTTCAATTGGTAAAGTATATCAACTGATATACATTTTCAATTGATATACTTTATCAATTGAAAATATCTATCTCCACTGTCAGAACATATCATTNGACATGTCGTGTGCATATCGAACACAAAAGTATACTTATGACCACGCGCGAGTATACTTGTTGTCTCTCAGTAGGTTAGAATGGTACTTTCTCAGTATAGAAAAGTCTAACAAGAACAACTTCGCAAAACAAAGAGACCCTCCAACGTAGGCCTACAGGGTGACTAAAAACGTCAGTACCGGAGACTTAGTTTTTGTGAAAAAAAACTCGCAAAACAGAACAGATATGTGCACAGCAATAGAGGAATATATATATATGTCCTCAGTAGACTAGATTATAAAATATATATATAGTGGAAAATCTCTCTTCAGCCCTCGTAGTGTGTATATCTATTCATGACTTTATTATAGAAACAAGTAGATACACGTGAAAGAGTCGAGTATGAGTGTGGGACAACATGTGCGTAGAACATAATGTATTACCCCCTTGATTTTCTCTTTTTTTATTTGGCATTTTCTACAGTCTTGTCAACACTATAACAACATCAACAAACACAGTAAGGACATGTCGTGTGCATATCGAACACAAAAGTATACTTATGACCACGCGCGAGTATACTTGTTGTCTCTCAGTAGGTTAGAATGGTACTTTCTCAGTATAGAAAAGTCTAACAAGAACAACTTCGCAAAACAAAGAGACCCTCCAACGTAGGCCTACAGGGTGACTAAAAACGTCAGTACCGGAGACTTAGTTTTTGTGAAAAAAAACTCGCAAAACAGAACAGATATGTGCACAGCAATAGAGGAATATATATATATGTCCTCAGTAGACTAGATTATAAAATATATATATAGTGGAAAATCTCTCTTCAGCCCTCGTAGTGTGTATATCTATTCATGACTTTATTATAGAAACAAGTAGATACACGTACAGAGGTTTTTCACAACACTTACTAGTATGCCGCGAGGTTTTTATAAGACCATTTTCGCCTTAAGAGTGGATAACCTAAGGACAGATCTACAAGTATCAGATAAGTGATAAAAACGCTTTATGTTAGAAAACTCATACTCATCAATACATAAGTGTGTAGATACAAAACAAAAATGTCACAAAGTCTTTTACTATCTTGCGTGCCAGTTAGATTTTAAAAATCGTTGTCCTATGTCATTTTTTTAATTAGAAAACTCAAGATTAAAATTCAATTTGGTTGCTGCGTCAAACTCCAAACTGATACATTGATTCACTATCATGTGAATTTAATGGGCATTGGTTCAAGTCGAACATATTTCCGTGTTTATGTCAACATCAGTTGTCTGTCGTGTTTTTTAAGGCCTCTACCTGACCTGACCCAGTAAACTAATGACCGAGGTCATCATATAAGTCTATAGGTTGACAAACACCTTCGGACAAAATGTAATAAAACGTCAAAGATTTCGGGGTTTGCGTGACGGTCTGAAAAAGTAAAAATGAATTTCGTTTTTGAGAGAGAATAGTTATGAAACAGAAATAAAAGCCGGAGACATTTGATATTTGTGACAGGAATTTCGATACACTCCTTCGAAACTACTGTCATCATTTGATTAAAAATCAATTCTTTGGATAAATACCACTTCTTTATTGTGGTGTTTTATTAGAACTGTATTATAAATTACCTTTTGAATTCCTAAAAAATTGATAAGCACATTTCCTTTTAAAAAATTGAAATTCATAAATATCATAAATTACCGCTTCCGTTTCATTGAAGAGTACATGTTATTTTAATTTTTGTTATCTACAGTATGCTATATCTGAGATGAGTATTATGACTTAATTATTTCCATATTACTTGTATCAGTCTAAATCCTAGATTTCTTACGTAAATAGCAAAGTAGACAAGAACACGGAATCTGCGTGTCACCACGATGTCGATCTCGTGTCTTCTCATGTTGCGTGAAGCTGCTGGCAAACTGCGATAAGTACTCCCTACTCAACTTAATCCGTTTACAACGCCGCTTTGACAAATCGGTGTAGAGTGTCACGTCTTTAGTATCAATCGATCCCTCCTCCAACGTCCGCCCAATTATTTCATTATTTTAGAACCATTTAGGGGCACTCATGCTC